CAATGGTCAACTTCGTGACCCGCTGTAGCGCCCTCGACAGGATTGCTGTCTTCCAGCACTTGTTGGGTCTCTGCGGGGAACAGAAGAGTAAGGTAGAGTCGACGTCGATGTCGTAGCAACGCCGCTGCAGCATATAGATAAACGGCCGGATGTACACAAGGTATTGATAGAGAAGATGGCCGACATTTTTCGGCAGTGTGCGGGCAACATGGAACTCGTTATTGGTAACGGTACGAGCCTTGACATGCCTGGTCACGAGAAAGAAGGAACCGTCGTAGACATATACCCCCCGACTCGTCGACGTCCCGTTGCAATGTTCGAGGGACATGAGCTCTGTTGCCCGAGAGGCCTGCCCGCCGGTGAGATGGATCAACGCCATGAGCTCCACCAACATTTGTTCATGCAGCTCCATATAGCGACGGGTTGCTTGGTAGTCCCAGCCGTTCTTACCCATGAGCCCATCCACCGGGGAGAGGCAGGCACGCTCTGACAGGGCTAAGAAGGCATCGGTTAGGTGGCTTGCTGGTTCGGTCACGAACGAGTAGCCTTTCTCCACGTTAGACATCCTGTCCTGGACGGTGTGAAGATTGATTACCGGCTGCAAGCCGTACATCAAAAATACGAAACCGTTGGTTCGCCTGCCTGTCGAGGTTACAGTGAACTTGAGCTTAGCTTCTGCTTCTTGTTCGCAACCCGCCAACAAGATGACACCATCAACGCCCTGCTCAAGAGAGCTTGATCACGCCCAGAGAAGCTGCAAGTCTGTCTCCATTTCCTCATGATTAGTGAATAGAACATTTGCCAGCCTCGTTCAAGCGCAAGCACAACAGAATCAACACCACCCTCCTCGGCTGCAATCCATCCTCATGCATTTGCCTTGACCCTGAACTGAAGTCGACGTTTGCCCTCATGATTTGCCTGTGACCATTAAAAAGAGAGGGATCCCGTTTCACCCAAGTTCGGCGAGCCTCTCCGCGTCCGGTGAATGTGCCTCTGCACGCTTGCCGCCGAAGGCGTCCCGAGAGAGGACGTCGGCGAAGTACTGCTTGATTTCGTCGATGAAGGTCATGTCCTCAGAACCGCATGCAGCGCTTTCACCGCTCTCGTTCTCATCTTCATAAATGTTCCAGAAGTCCCAACGCTGCACAGGTGGACAGGTCTTGCGGCTGCCAAAGAATGCCACCGCCTCGGGTTCGTAGTCTCCGTACATCCGTCTTCTTTGCTCCGCAGGGATTTCAGGCAGAAGCTGCTGCACAATCGACCACCACCAGGCCCAAAACTCATTGATCGGCCCGCAGTGAATCTCCGAGGCCTTGTCGTAGGCCTCCATGATCGCTTCGAGCTGTTGGCGAAGTTCCGCATCCTCTTCTTCAAGCTCTCGACATGTCTCCGGATCCCTATGCTGCCGTGTGGGAAAATATCCTGACCCTCTCGGCTCGTGGCCACCCCAGAAAAAGCAACAGGTATGGGCCATCCCGAGGCGCGTGAATATCTCGAGCCGGCAGGCGTCGCGCAGACATTCGCGAGCTTGAGACTCGTTGAGGTCGCAGTCTCGTATCCAGGATTGGACGGTATCCGAGATAGTTGCCCAGCGTTTGGCGATAAACCCGCGCGGAGGCCGGCGGCGGATGGGCCAGCGGATGGGCCAGTGTACTTCCACCTCGATCCCGTTCCGGAACTTGTGCAGAGGCAAACATCCTCCGGAGGAGCAATAGCATCGGCACGAGTCTCTTTGCATTGGATCACAGGACCGAGCAACGAGCCTGATCATGCTTGGTGTTGTCTTCCTGTCCCGTGCAGCAGCACTGAGCTTCTTCACCTCTGCAGTAAATATCGGCACCGTGCCGATGTGGTTTTGCTCGTAGACCATCTCTACAGCTGATGAGAAAGCTGGTGTTTTGCGGTAGATGGTGTCAGAGTTGTACACGCTGCCTAGGTAGAACAAAAAGTTTGGCAGCATCCTCGGTAATGAGAAAACAGGGTTGGCGCCGTGCTCAAGGAACCATTGGATCATGCTCTCCTTCTGCCCGCCGGCAAGAGGGCCATGAAAAAGTAGTGCCAGTGGAGTAACTCCATCCACTTGGGGGTTTAGCTCACGAAATCCGTTTTCGAATAATAACTTCGCGAGCTGGAAGCCGCCAAGTTGACAGGAGATGTTGAACGAGAGGAATACTGGCAACCTGCTAGGGCGCAGGACGCTGGGGACGGGAACGCCATGGTCTTGAAGGGCCGTGTAAGTTGTGAAAGCATTCGCGTCGAGAAGCGTGTCCGAACACACACCCAGCTGACGTAGGTGTGTTGGTGGTAGATGTTTCAATGCCAGGTCTGCCAGGTGCGCCCGTTCGCTTCTAAACGCGGCGACGACGAGAGCCATGATATCATGCCTTGCCCCCGAATTTGCCTCCAGCGGCCGATAGCTCAACAAGCAGCATGCCCGCCTATGCGGGGGAGCACAGTCTATTTGGAACGGTGCCAACTGGCAATGCGCGCAAAGGGTAGCTCTCAACAAATCGGCCCCGGCCCGGTAGTAATCGCGGGGATGGAGAGATGAGACGTTGAAAACAAAGTCTGCATGGACAGATAGAATTTGCCCGGCAGACTGCACGTCGTCGCGGAAAACGGCAAGCTGCAGCGCTGCTGAAGCGGGGCATCCAGCGTCAATCAGCAGGCGCAACCCCTCAGGCCAGCCCAGAGCACATTCTAAAGGCGTTAGTATTGAGTTGAACCAAGGGGATCGTTTATGCTGATCCCGTTTAAGGTGGTGTTGAAGCTTGGATGTGGACCGGCTCAGGACAGCGAAGTGTAAGGGGGTCAAATCAGTGGCTGCCGATTGATATCAGTACATCAGCTCACATGTTAGACGCTCGGGTCACTCACAAAGATCAAGCCGATGCGGGCTCAGCATTAAGTCCAGGCAAGCTGACTTGTAGCTAAGTCTCTCCGCCGGACATAGTGCTCCGAATCCGAGCTTGGGCGCCTCAAGATGGAGTCCGAGCCTGGAAATTAACTCGCGATAAAGAGAAAATTCCGGACTTAGAGTGCCACAAGGCCTGGCTTGCATGACTAGGGCATCAAAGGCCAGGTTTGCAGCGGTACAGGTTGTATTTATGACCTTTAAAGATGAACGAGGTGAAAATCGGGGGGTAATGGGAAGCGCCGCGTTGAGGTCCACTCCGGAGTTGACGAGGAAAGCTGCGATGTCGTTTACGAGATTGAGAAATGTTGCAGACAAGGCTGGAGTCCCAGAGACCACTTGACAGACGTAGAGAAGCTCCTAGCAAACCGTCAGCCCGCGGTAGTCGAGTGGCTACATTGTAGACATGCCAACTTACAAAGAGCAAGGTGTTTCCATATTCGTCCTTTTCATTCGGCGCTGCCTCATATGACCGGAATAGGGCCCCCAAGCGGGCAGATAGGCACTGCAATCGAGCATGCAGCCCGTCGAAGGATGGCAATGATCCACTGCAGTGATAAGTCGCTATTCGACCTTCACCTTGCTCAGGCTCAAAGTGGTAAGGTTCCAGCATCCGTTTAGGCAGCACATCCCGAAACAGGGCGAAGGATGACGAGTCGATTCGGCGTACCTTAGGAGAATAACTGACAGAGAAGCAGGTGAGGCGCTGTTTGGAGTGAAATGTAGCAAGCACCTCGATGGTACCGGCAAGGAAAGGGAGGTGCGGGAAGGATAAATACTTGGTTGTCTCGCAGTCTGACTTCAAGTAGAACGGACAGTCGGGAAGGTGGCGCCTCTTAGAGGAAGTGTGATATCTCAAGGGGCCCAGCAGTCGGCTTCGCTGCTTTAGCTGGTGACCTATTTTGGGGCACTGACACGAAACCGGGCTTTGCCAGCCAGCATCGATGTTGCCGAGTCGATGTTCGAGTGCCATCTTCAAATCTTGGGGGTACTCGACGAGCTGACGGGCGGATGTGGCAAGCTGTACATCTAGAATTAGTAACTCTGACACGAATCAGCTCTGCAATGGCAACACCCTAGTGAACTCACGACATAAGCTTTCTCGTCTCTGGAGGTATTCCGGAGGCTGGAGTCGAACGTGGATGCGGGGGGCTCTCCGAGCACTAGACATCTGTGGAGCTCCATGATCATTTGGTTGACGCTGACAGTCGGTCGTTGGCTAGGCCGAAGGGAAGCTGTCGTGCTCCGGATCGGCGTATCAGGAAGAGGGTCATCACGCTGGTCCAGCGGGGCAACCTTGGGGTCCTGGATCCCGTTGTTGCCGAGGCGGAAAGTCTGTGGAAAAGCGACCGAGTTGAGGCGAGCTTCCATGGCAGACAGTGAGCTTGTTGTTTGCTGAAGGTTGACGGACACGGCTGCTAAGTCGCTCCTTTGTTGAACGGTGTCAGCACCATTGATGAGGAGCGTACCGCGGGAGCGGACTAATAAGCGGAGGGACAGAGACTTACTTGACCGATGTCAGCATTGCTAAGTCACAACTCTGCAGTTCCCTGTTCAAGTCGTGCTTGAGCCTCTCGAGCCTCTCGCATCGGTTGACGATGTCGATTTCTCTTTTGACTGAAATCAGAGCGCGCCACAGCTTGCGCGACCTGGAACTGGAAGAGCCGGCAGGAGGGCAGCAGGGAGCGAGCAACTCCTTTAGCTGCTTGCAGATATCCGCAGTGCTGTCGAGAATTCGAGTAACGCGCTGCGATTGTGTTGGGGTAATGCCGCGCAGTCGGGGGTCAGCTTTCTCGATCGCTGATCGCAAGTCGTCCATGAGACCCGAGAAGTGGCCCAGATCATCCAGCGTGAAGAGGAGATTGGCCGGAACGTCTTTGAGGTCCTTGAGAAAACGGTAAGCTCCAAACAAGCTGCGACAGCCCAGGTCGACGAACTGGGCCGCCGCTGCTACCGTGCCCAGCTCCATCGGCCAGAGTCGTCGAGGCGAATGGCTTCAATGAGGGAAGCCCTGTTTGTGCGTGGTTCAAGTTAAAGATTCTGGTAGCGGGGTACGACGGGAAGAAGAAAACAGGCACTGGCAGCAACCTGCAAGTTGGATCCCAACGTAAATGCTGGCCCGAGTCTCGGGCGCAGCTGCCCAACCAGACTTGTAGGAGGCCAAGGCAGCCCGCAAGGCAGCCTGCAAGGCACCGCCGAGCCGCTGAAAGGCTGAGGGGCACTTTCTGTCACAGGGGAAGTACCAAAACGTTGGTTTCGACGGATTCCATGCTCTGAACTTGAATCACAAAATACACACCAAAGCGGCTGATCTGCCATCTGTCTATCTCAGGCAATATCGGCCTCCACCCTGGTCACGCCCGTCTCGCTATTGGGCGCCATCTGCCTGAATATGCTTCTAGGATCGAACAACACCTCAACCCTTTGTAGTTATAGCTCTGTCACGGCGATT